GTTGCAGGGGGGTGCTACAAAACAAAATGTCCACCCCTCCAAAAAAATTTTCAACCCCCCCATATGATACAAAATAAACATAGGAGTACACTGGAACAGAAAAAGACAGTGTAACACTCCGAAATTAATCGCTCCTCGCTTGCATTCACTGGTTTATTGGAGCAATTGTAAAGTTTTGAAACTCTATTATCTTCCCTGAATAGAGTTTGCAGTGTCTTGTCATGCGAATAGCTTCCACGCAAGGAACGTTTGGAATTTTTAAGAACACTATTTTTAGTTTAATTCTTTTAGGAAATAGACTTGCCTAGATTTAATCTTTACGCCCCAAATATTCTTTACATCGGAGTTGCATCATAAATTGTACTCGGATTCAAACAACACAATGTCAATGACTTCATAAAAGTAAAAGCATATTGTGTATTGGCCTATTGGGTTTACACTTTAACAGGTTCATTTAACTTTAAGTCTTTAACTCTCTCAAGTCTCAACAGACAATCAGACATGCCAAATCCATTGATATGACAACTTCAAAAAACTTTTTTTTTTGAAGCTAGAAATCATGATTTTTTTCAAATTTTTCCTGGGGTACTTTGTGTTGTGCTCTCTAGACTCCCCCTCACGGCTCTAGTGCTCCACCCCAAGAATATAATAGACCTTACTGGGGGTTTGGTGACATTTTGTGTTGCTTCAGTCACCTGCTCACCCCCCTAAAATTTCTGGCACCAACAAGGTAATAAATATGAAAATCCGTCTATGCACTAATGCACATGAAAAAAGGCAAATCTATGGAAATACAGTTACCCAAATACAAAAAAATATTGTACAGTATTGAATAAGGAAAACAAACACAATAGATATTTCGATGCCAAACCATTGAACAATACACCCTTTCGGTTACTACATCACTATCCTCTTTTTGGCCTGGGAGACTCGCTGACATGCATCAAGAGGAAAGGCGATTGGCTCATGATTCATGAAAGCGAAGCTCCCAGGCCAAGAAGAGAGTTATGACATAATTAACGAAGGGGTGTATTGTATTGAGCAAACTAATATAATAAAAATGTCCACATCTGCAAGCAATGACAATCTTGGGTTGAATCACAGTGACAGTGCATCATAAATTGGGTCATCCCAGAAAAAAATCCATACACCCCCATGGAGGAAATTTGCATGGGATGGGGGGAGAGCGACTTCAATTTTCCAAAGATATCTGAAGGAAAAGGCAGTAGTCATTTCCCACCTTTCCTGGGGTGTGTGGATCTTTTGTGGAACAACCCATTGGAAAGAACAACCACTCATGAATTTTGTTGATGGTCTTTGAGAAATTCAATCCTGGATGTTTTCCCCCCGCTTATTTGCCCTTGAAGCCATACTATTACAAACAATATCATTTCAATTCATTAATCACCTGCAATTGCTGTTCATGCTGAGCCCGTGGTAGATTGATTTGGTAGATTGATTTGCTGACCCCTGCCTGATCTTCCCCTAGAGCCTCTGCCACCTCCTCTAGAGGGTTGTGCCCGTGAACTGGAAGCAGTATTCAGAGCAACATATTCTTCTGAAGATGCATCCTAAAAGAATTGTTTATTAAACACTTTTTCTATGCATAAACAAGCTTGATGATTTATTTAAAAACATTGGTGTATTTCCAGTTTGAAATCAAGTTCTTACTATGGCATATTATAAACTTTCCCAGAGTTTAATTTTAACATCCATTTTCAACTATATAGACACATTTTCCTACCTTTTTACATCCTATCCCATTCCTAGATGTTACAATTTATAGTAATCGCCATCTTGATTCCTGAATCAAATACGAACGGTGTGATACTTAATTTAATATCACATACTATGGATCAAAACAAAAAAGGTAAACAAAGTTGGCGCATGCGCAAATTCGACTGGAGATTATCTTTAATGCATTTTTATTTACGTGGACCATATACTCGGAAGACATACAAGTGAATGAGGCGCCCCTCCTTAACCCTTTCGGCCTTTCAACTTTTTCATGGCGCACCTGAGAAATTTTAGGCAGTTTTGCGCACCCGCATTTCATGTGCGGCCTGATTGCACACCCAAGATCTTGTTAAAAACTGCCATACCCTGCAGCCTGCTGGCTGGTTTCCAAATTTGTCTTTCATTTTCACTAAGGGAAAACTTTTATCAATTGCAATCTTCAAATTATTATGAAAATTCATATAGGATTCACATGGGTCATTGGCTTCGAAAGTACTTTCCCATGATATATTTTTCACAGATGCTAGAAACAAGTTAAGATTATCTTCATTTATTATTCGTTTGAAATGTGAATTTCCTGTTTTGGGGTCATTATTATTTGCCGATAAACGAGCTATATGAAATATTGGGAGATGATCTGAAATATCTGAGAAGATTAATCCGTTTACGCTTCAATCTATATGTTCAAGATCCTTTGTAAAGATGTTATCAGTTAAAGTAGCTGTATGCTGGGTAATTCTAGTTGGTCTATTTATAAGTGGAAAAAACGATGAGGTAAAAAGTTGCTCACAAAATCTAGAATATTCACAATCATCAGATTTCAAAAGATCAATGTTAAAATCCCTTATCAAACATGTTATTTTCATTGTTTTGTCAACTTCTGTTAGTATTGTATTTAGTTTATTTTCAAATATTTCAAAATTACCACTTGGCGGTCTATAGATAACACCAACGATAATATTTTTACCAGTTGTTTAAATAATTTCAATGAAAAGCATTTCAATTATTCCATCCTCGTTTATATTCAGGTCAGTTCGTAGTTTGTAGTTTAAACTATTTGAAATAAAAAATCCTACTCCACTGCCTTTTCTATTTTCCCTGTTAGAACAAATAAAATCAAAATTACTAAGATTGTAATTTTCACTATTTTTGTCATTAAACCAAGTTTCAGTTAAACTAATTATAGAAAAGGGTTGTTTTAAAGTATTTAGTAGATTTCTAAACGAGTCAAACTTATTTGCTATACTCAGGTTTAGAATTGATAGCTTTTTGCTATCAGAAATAATTTTAGCAAAGTCATTAGGTAGGTAATAGTTGCATGTTAAACAATCAAGATTTTCCGACATAATTTTCAAAATGTCGAGAGTTAGTAATGTTGTTATCAAAGTCTAGGGGATTAAACTTGAGTTGTGTTAGTCTATCCATAACCACATCACATGGAAGTCGATTAAAATTGCCAAAAATATAATGGAATTCTAAATCATCAATTGAATAAAAAGGAAGCGAACAACTTAAGCACACGTTGCGTATATCAATTTCCGTTTGATGACATGTGACTGGTAATTTTATGCATGAGGCGCGAGTATGAAACCATACCCTGCATGTGAGACACTTAATGCTTTTTGTTATTTTTACTTATTTTTAACTCTTTTAAGAGCAGGACCCTATTATTGCAATGCGGCAGTGCAATGCGACTTTGACATGTAATATCTTCGGTTCATTGAATGCTATGTGGACAAAAATACCACCATTCGATTCAGTGTAATGAAATCTCTTCATTCGTAGCGATAGTTTTAGTCAATGGCAACATTATAGTGATTTATGAGCTTTGAAAGTAAAGCGAGATCGTATATGATCAGGTTACGCATTATTACCAACAAATTATAAAAACATAAACATACCTTTTGCCGAACATAACTTTGGCCCCTTGCGACGTATGCTCATTTTAATATTTTTGATGAATTAAGCATTGAATATACCATGTGTAGTGTTATTTTCAAGCTTCTATCTTTAAAGTGACTTTTAGTGCCGAATTTTACATTTCTGGCCTGAATTTGCGATAATCCCAACCGGAAATACAACTAAATATCATCAAAACTATGCGACGTTTGTATCACATGTCTCTGGAAATGCCAGAAATGGATTCTACAGGTCAAAGTGCACCTATACGCGCGAGTTTGACGTCATCCTGGCTAAAGGAGCTACTTATTGGCCAAGTATTGTGTAATACACATGCGTGCGAGTAAAACCCGATACTTTGAAAAATTCAAAATAAATATTTCTACTCACCGTATTCATCCGAAACTTACTACACGCTGGAAATACAGAGAGTATTTTACTCACCCTTACGAAAAAAGTCTATAGGTGGCCTATAGGTGCCTATAGGAAATGTTCCAATTCCCTATAGAAGCCTTTAGGCATCTATAGAGCTCTATAGGCTTATAGGCATCCCTATAGGTCACCTATAGAAAATGTTCCAATTGCCTATAAAAACCTATAGGTTTCCTATAGGAACCTATAGGTTGGCCTATAGGCCAGGCCTATAGACTTTTTTTGTAAGGGCATATAGCCTTTTAGAAAATGATGAAAGGTTTACAAAATATTCAAGTTTTTCTCTTTTCCCGTTTTAATGTTTGGCCAAGCGGTGAAGTATAAATATATGATTGTTTTGGGTAATATTTTGATGGCACTGGACCCCCCATTCGAAAGGTTATTTTGTGAGGATTTCAATGGTGAGTTTTATTTTAAAGGGGGGTAAGTACTCGCCGAGATATTTACATTAGAAAAATTGAATCGTAATGTAATGCGAAACCACATGTCGAGAAAGAGTTTAAGAGAACAGGGTAGAACATAAGTCCTTATCTAAACTTTGGACTGGCCATATCTGGTTACGTATATGATTAAAAGTGAGAAATAACTCTATACTAATATTTGTTATGTTGAATATAAGTTGAATGTTTGAACTCGACATTGTTTATATACAACCTGTCTCGAACCATACACACTCTGTGACCTTGCGCTTTCGCCTTCTTCATTTCAGGATATAATGTTTGTCTAATCTTTTCGATTTCTTCAGGAAATTGTTCCGCGATTCCAATGCATCTGCCTCTGAGTTTCCTGGCATTCATTCAAATATCTGTCCATTTCTGGTCGTGTTTCTCCGGGGTTTTTTCTGCCAATCTGCTTGGTACGTGTTTCATTAACTTTAGAGGCATTCATTTTCTTTTTATCAATTGGAGTATTTACAGTAAAGTTTGATTCTTTTTGAGCGCTGCTTCTCAAATCTCCTAAAAATATCACTTTTAATTACAAAATTTTCAATTCCCCAAACATATATATGTTAAGTTAGTAATGTGTGGTCACCTAGCACTGTCAAACACCGGTCACTAATCGAGAATATTCAGCGACGAGCGACTAAGTTTATCTTGAACTATCCCAAAAATATGTCTTATCAAGAAAGACTGATAAAAACGAACCTCCTTCCACTCGAATTCCGCAGAGAAATCTTGGACTTGCAATTGTTTTACAAATCAAAAAACAGACTCGTACCTATGATCTAGGCTACACATCACATCATTACGACGAAAACAATTTCTATTTTATTACTAAACATAAGCAGGACTACTTCAGGAATTCGTTTTTTGTAAGGTCAGCAAATCTGTGGAACAGCCTCTCATCGCAATTTAAGAGTTGTACATCAATATCTGTATTCAGTTCTAGACTACATAAAATGTATAAAGAACAACTGTTATTTTACAGCCCTCCTGTCTGTTCTTAACTTTATAATATCCTATGGTTTCCTATTCATGTAATGTGTTTGGTCGATGTATAGTCATTTATTAGGAGTTAGGTGTCAATTGGGACGCAAGTCCTGTTCCTCTCTCCAGTCACACCTATGTTGTATTTTTGCATGTTCTATACTAGTGTCAGTAATCAATCTTGTTTGTATGTAAATGAATTGTGACAAATCAAATTAAATTAAATTAAATTAAATTAAATTAAGTTTGTTATTATATGTAATATAAGTTTCAATTTAAGGTCAAATTCAACCTCAAACGCTTCACAAGATGTTTTAAAATGTTCTTTATAAAACTAAACTGCCTTTAAAGGCTTTATCGAAAAACTTTGAGTTTGAAATAAAATGATTTCAGATTCTCGCATTTAAACAACTTTGCTTTCTTTTTTAATATAATAAAAAAGGTTAGTCAATAAAGAAACACTGAAATTATATGCTGCCTTTTTCATTTAAAATATATGCAACGATCAGCTTCAAAGCCGTTATAAAGCAAACAATACATCAATATTTAGAACGAACCTACCTTTGTTAACGTCTGTGCCTTTACTCCCTTCATTTAGTAATTCTTTCAACCTTTATTTTCTTAAAAAGCTTTTGAAATTCACAAAAGTCTTGCAAAAATGAAATATATTTGCAAGAAATCATCAAATCAATAAATGTTTGCTATTTGGCTGTCGTCATGTAGTCGTTATAATGCAAACTTTAAATTTGACCAATCAGTGTCCGCTATTCATGACAGTCCACCATATTTTTGAGATCAGTGAGGATGACCACCCACCGAAACTTTGTTGGTGACCCCCCCGATCATTGACAAACTTTAGACTTCGCTAATGCTTTTGTTTCCCCAGGTGTAAATAGCCGGGCGGAATTAGTACCCTCGCCCCGGGCTTACGCCTGGACAGCATTAATAACAGTACAGTGTGAGCAATTCACTTTAACTCATTAACGTGCAAGCTGTTACAATGTTTCTACCCCCCTAACGTGCAAGCAATATGGCGAATACGTGACTTTATCCCATACCTGTGTTAAAAGCGGCTTTCTGATTGGTTTAGAGCAGGTGAGCTTGTCGTCGAGCTCACCTGCTTTTTGCCTTATCCCATACCTGTGTTAAAAGCGGCTTTCTGATTGGTTTAGAGCAGGTGAGCTTGTCGTCGAGCTCACCTGCTTTTTGCCGAGCTCACCTGCTTTTCGCCCGAACTCACCCGCTAAACTGCTTACGTTGCAATAACAATAACAAATATGGCGGACAAGATTTAGCCGATAAACCTAAACTTTAAAGAACTTTTTTCGGTGACTAACATACCGAGACTGAAGAAAAACCAAAGAAAAAATGCAGTAAAGGTAATGTAGACGTAGATAAAGAAGTATTTTCTTGCCCAGTGATTTTTTTGGCCGGGAAAATGTTCACAAAACATCGACGAGACGACGAATATATCGCGAAGAGCTACAAATGTGTGTATGGCTCGGTGTAAAAAAAACCAAACGTACTTGCAGGTTCGGTGAGTCCGGGATTGGACGCACCTCGGGTGGCTGGAAGTTTCCCGAACTCACCTCGCTTCGCTCGGTAAGTTCGGGAAACTTCCAGCCACCCTCGGTGCGTCCAATCCCGGACTCACCTCCCTGCAAGTACGTTTGTTATAGAATTCAAGAGCTTTCACCAAAATGGCAATATCTCAGAAACAGTTGCATGAAAAAATCTGGTCTTTTCAACCAAATATTAATATATGATTGACCAAATTTAGTTTAAATGAACTTGCATACCTATATATATATCATTAGTTTTTTCAATGAGAATTTTTATTTGTAAACCAGTGACACTATTTTTTTCATGTCACTCATCACCTAAAGGGGCAATATCTCCATATATTTATATAAAAACAAAAAAAAAATTATTTACTAAATTAGTACATATCTATATTATAACCAATTTTCATCTATTGGGATATGAATTAGAAAATGATCAAAAATTATAAAAAATACTCCTTTGCTTTTTTGGGCAAGATGTTTACAACATGAAATTTAGAACAGTAACTAAGTGTTAAAATTCAACAAAGTGTGCAAGCCAAAACACAGTGCTTGTACATCTTTGGAGTTTTTAATTACCTCAAATATATTTAAAAGGACATACGGTACTAGAATCTATTTGTTTTCAATGTAAACCAAGGATGGGAAGGTGAGAAAATAGGAATTTTCTGAGGTGTTTTTAACACAGACAATGACAGCCGACATTTTCAAAGGCAAATTGCGGTGACAAAACCAAAAGTTATTCACTTCTCTACTCAAAGCACTGAAAAACACCATAAAGAGAAAAACATTTTAAATGTACATCAGGTAAGCCTTTTAGCTCAATTTTCTCATGTTTCTGTTTGGAAAGAAACGGTTTTTAGCCAAAATTATTTTGCACGCCAATGTAGGCTGCTATATAATGTCAGACACGCGTTCTCTTTTGAAGTCTGGCTCTGAAAAACAATCGTTTTTTTTTAGTTTGAAATAAGCTTTCATTAGGACTAATTGTGTAGAAATGTTATCTGTATGCTCAAATGAAAAAGATAACCTAATAGTCAGGTATTCAACATAGCTATAAAAGGGTGAAATAAGGACTTTCATCTTTGGTTGTTTGTCAGACATGAGAAACCACATTAGTGCCATTTTGTCGCGCGTGCTATTTTATAAAATAAACACCTCAAAACCATAAACAACACAAAGTTTCCCATAGACATTATTAAAAATGTTCTAGTGAAACGATTTCATGATAAATAAGCGAGCAATGGGCCCGAAAGGACGGCTAAATTATGTTTTTGTTGGGACTTCAGTTTCATGGCTTCCCGCAAAGGAAGCCATTTCAGAGAGAAGCGACAACAACGGCAAACAACCATCGCGACCAAATTTTGATAACTTTTCCTTCTGATTCAACATGTAGTTACTAGAAAATGAGGTTGGATCAACATTACTATCTGCCTTATCGATTTAAAGTTTTATGGGGATATAAAACCCAATACAAAAAGCATTTTAAAAGCTTTAGAACTCAAGTGCGGACTTTTTGAGAATTCGCACGCGGCAAGGAAGCGCATTAATTCAATACACTTATTTCAAACCACAATATGACTGAAACGAGTTGTAATTTTAAGACTAAATTGATGAAAATAGATATAACAGTGATTTTGGAGTACCCTACTTACTTAGTGTAATTTAATACTCGAAGTATTCTTGCCAAATAGGGCACATACGCACACAGTAATTTAATCTGGTGTCGTTTGAAACATACTTTAGCTAAAATAACAACTTGAACAAGAAGACCAACAATGGGGTTACGAAAACAGTCGAAATTGTGCCCAAATTTGCATAAACAGTTTGTCTAAAAAGATAACTTTAAACTAGATTCAACCAACATTAATGCAGTCGAATTTTGTGAGTGTTTGATCGCATATTTCTACGCAAAAATACCCTTTAAAAAATCGTATCTGCTCACTTGTGTTCCGTGTTCATCTTTCTTGTGATTTCCGACTTCTATTTTTAATAAAGTTTGGAGAAATCCTCATCTTTTTGGCTGAAAATCTCGCGCATGGTTCACAGAAAAACTTGGCCCCAAAACATCAATACATTCGCTTTCCTTTCATGCCAAATTTTCGTTGTAGTTGATTCAGAAACCTCTTCTTTTCTTGCTTTTAAAACTTGCTGTAAAATCTTTCTTTGTAACAGAATCGCCATTATTCATTATTTTTGGAAAACTAAGATTTTAAACTTGAAAAACTTTGCGAGTTTCTGACCGATTTTCTTGCATGATACACCGTTGAAAAGCTCGAATTTCACATTCTATTTTCGTATCCATTGCAAGGCAACCCGATAAACACATGCTCAAATATCATGCCCGCAAGTTAAGGTGTCATGCCAGGGTGCATTCGGGCGCATTGTCCGTTACCCACTTGTCAATCTCAGGGCGCATACGGGCGCGTTGGGTGTTAATGAGTTAAACTCCTATAGTTATTTGCAATTTGGAATTAAGAGAACAAATCCTGGAATATGCAGACAGGAGATGCACCCCCTACATTTTGAGTAGGACTAGAATAGATTTAATATAAAATCATGCATGCCTCCCCATTAAAATTGAACCTGTAATGTTTTTCTGTATTCTTCGTGGACCATGATTTCATCAAAGCTTGTCTCCATGAGATTATAGCAATCAACATTTATGTAATTGATGACCCCTTCAGTTGTCTGAGCTACATTTTACACTTCAAGGGCTCTTCCAATTACCATTTTCTGCCAAAAACACCTTAGGATTTCAACATGACTAAAACTGTTTTCTCTGCATAATGGAAATGTGCCATTCACCACTTCTTCCACAGTACGATAATTTTCGACATCCGGTGTTTGTGTCAGCTCTACTGTCTCTACTCTTCAGGTTTCAGTTGAGGTTTTGTGGAAAAGATGAAGACGAGGGGGTTCTATGTGAAGTGCTCGCTGGAGCAGAGGACGAGGATTGTTCAGGAACACTGTGTGGGGCAGTTGATGAGGAGGATTGTTCAGGAACACTGGGTGGGGCAGTTGACGAGGAGGATTGTTCAGGAACACTGGGTTGCCAATTGACAAGGAGGATTGTTCAAGAACACTGGGCGGGGCAGTTGAGGAGGAAGATTGTACAGGAGGAACACTGGGTGGGGCAGTTGTTGAGGAGGATACATGAGGGACACTGGGTGGAGCAGAGGATGACTGAGGGACACTGGGTGGAGCAGATGATGACTGAGGGATACTGGGTGGAGCAGTTGACGAGGAAGATGCCCGAGGGACACTGGGTGGAGCAGTTGACAAGGAGGGTGCCCAAGGGATACTGGGTGGAACAGAGGATGACTGGGGGACACTGGGGGAGCAGATGATGAAGAGGATGCCTGAGGAACACTGGGTGGAGCAGAGGATGACTGAGGGACACTGGCTGGTGCAGATGATTAAGAGGATGCCTGGGGGATACTGGGTGGAGCAGAGGATTCATCAGAGTCTAATCCTTCAGTACATGCCCACAAATGCTCGTGAACAAGAACTTCTTTGTTACACATCTGACATACCTCTTTCATCTCACACTGGCTTTGTTGTACTAGAGGTAGGGTGGCCAATGATCTCTGGATAGGCCGCAACTAAACTTTACTCTGCCCACCATCCAAAGAGGAGCGTAGGTAGGTCTTTAGCATTCCACAAACAGTTGATGACAACGAGATCTCTGCAGTTTCAGGTGCATCGCATCATTTCAAACACGCCGCAGGTTTTTAACTGTGGAAATCCCAATGCATTTCCTGTGCTATCTTGCATTTTAGACATTATTTTGTCTGTCACCATCTGCTTGTCATCTTCTAGATCGACTTTGATCTTTTTCTAGCCCAAACCAGCTTTAAACAAAATCTGGTTTTCTTCTGCTGATGGTGTCTTTGTTGCAGGTGTCAGCAAGACAAAAAAAAAGATTGGCGTCCACAGGTGATGTTTAGGCACCCTCCTGCTGGCACCACTCTTGGTTCTTCTTGCCGCAGCATGTGCCTGAATGTGGTTGTTGTGCCTACAGTGATTAAAAATTGCTAACCGTTCTTGACAAGCAGCTGACACTTGGCTCAAGCAGCTGACGCTTGGCTCTTTGATATTTCTTTTGCATGCATCATGAAGACGAAGATGAATGCGATTGCCTATCATACTCGTGTCGAGGTGAACCAATTCCTGATCCACACTAAATAGCACTCTTTAAAATGAATCGTGTTCGAAGTAAATGTTTTTCCCCCTCAAAGATATTGCGAAAATTAGTCGTCGCAAAACATTAAAACATGTAAATGTTAACATGTGATCGAAGTATCAATATGTTTGAGACATGAAGTATAAAATATTATTTCTAAGCTGCTGTCTAAACATACTGGCTCACTACAACATAATGATGCATTAGTAGCATAAGCTGCTGTCCAAACATACTGGCTCACTACAACTTCATGATGCTCACTACCACATAATGATGCACTGAGGATAATGCTGAAAGCACCGCGTTTAATGCTGAAAGCACTGCGCATAATGCTAACCGTGTATAATAATGAAGCACCGCATATAATGTTGAAAGTACCATGTATAATGGTGAAAGCACCGCTTATAATGCTTGAACCACTGCATATAATGTTGAAAGCACCGCATATAATGGTGAAAGCACTGTGTATAATGCCCAAACCATCACATATAATGTTGAAAGCACCTCATATAATGGTAAAAGGACTGTGTATAATGGTGAAAGCACAGCATGACGACCCGCACGCCTATAAATTGAATTATCTTGAAGGTCTCAGGTAGATTAATGAATGTCTCCAGTTTCGTACTCGCCCCAGGTAAATACGCGCGGACACGACAGTTTTGCGACATTTTTTGCGGTTGTTTGTTGGATCAGGTCACCCACGAAGCCCATCTTGCCTCAGGAGTGTATTTAATACTGCTTACTATAAGACTTTAATATAAAAGTATAAATATTATAAAGGAATATTTCGTTAGTTGTATTTAAAGACTTTGGAGACGTATGCGTGACCTACATAAAAAGGTAAGCATTTGTTGTGTTCTGTATACTGTGGATTTTCAAAGTCATAGTGCGAATTTGACGCTATGTAGAATATATATTTATTATATTTATAGCTATTTGCTAGAATATTATTTATTGCTTTGCCCTAAATAGGTTAAATTGCCCGTTTTTAAAATGTGAATTTATCTATATACTCACTGCTGTGCCTGTGTTTTTGTCTTTTCGAGCTTCTGCTTCTATATTTGACATTTGTATTTACTTGGCCCCATGCAAAATAAAACAACACAAGTGGGGACAAAATCCCCACAGCATTTAAAATCTTTATTCAAGCAAATAATAATTAATTCTTTACATGTTCTCCAAAACGCTGAAAATATACATCTACTGACTGATAGACAAAGTAGCAAATTATATATAAATGGAGAATATTTTACATAAATCAGGGTATTGCATGTACATATTGAAAAGTTTAGACATTGTCTTGACCAGAACAGCTCAATCATGACATTTAAAACAATTTAAAACGAGGCCTTTGTATCTTTTTTATATTTTGATTTGCATCTTGGCAATCTTCTCTCGCTATTGATTGGCATGTCTTGTTAAATACACGGAAAATAAGATTGTTTAGAAATATATTGTTTTCATAGTTAAACTATGCAATTTTTAACTGCAAAGCTTGAACTGATTGCCGAAAGACATAGAATATCTTGACAACCAGCTGCCCAAAGACACATTGTATCTTGACAACTTAGAAGTTCTAACTTTGCACATACCAGTGATTGTACAGTAGTGTTGTCCGGTTATGAGCTTACATTTCTGCAAAGCTTGAACTGATTGCCGAAAGACAAGAATATCTTGACAATCAGCTGCCCAAAGACACATTGTATCTTGACAACTTAGAAGTTCTAACTTTGCACATACCAGTGATTGTAGTGTTGTCCAGTTATGAACTTACATTTCTGCAAAGCTTCAACTGATTGCCGAAAGACAAGAATATCTTGACAATCAGTTGCCCAAAGACACATTGTATCTTGACAACTTAGAAGTTCTAACTTTGCACATACCAGTAATTGTAGTGTTGGTTATGAGCTTACATTTTTGCAAAGCTTGAACTGATTGCCAAAAGACAAGAATATTTTGACAATCAGCTGCCGAAATTAAGACACATAAATTGTATCTTGACAACTTAGACGTTTAAACTTTGCATATAGAAAGTGTTGGTAATGGGTTTATGTTTGTAAATAATTTGTGCAGTTTCACCATGCCGCAAAAACCTGAACTGATTGCCAAGAGACAAGAAATTTTGTCAATCAAGCTATGTTCAAAAACACATCATACAGTACCTTAGTTAACAACTTAGAAGTGCTAACTTTAGACTAAGGTCAAAGTCTTAGTTACAGTATGGGTTTAAAACTATCCTTTAAAAAGTAGAATTATACAGTTTAACCATGGCTTGTAAAATTACCCTAATTAAATAAATTTATTTGCAACATTTAATTTATTTGTTAGTTGAGCGATTACCCATTAAAGCTTTTCTTGTATCATATTAGGTGCACTAGCTGCCTGTATATATGGATTTAAAGCTGACAAAAGTTGTAGTGTGCTTGGCTTTTGTGTAGGCATTTCAGACGAGGCTTGTTTTCCAAGTTCAAGCAATGTGCTATCTTCAATGGTTTCGCCAATGGCCTTAATAATAATTCCAAACGAATATACATCACTTGCAGGACTTGGTGGCTTACCCGTCAAAACCTCTGGAGCAATGTAATTGTTAGCCTTTGCATACTTCTTTGCTGGTGGATTCGCAGTTGGTTTCACCTTGCCAAAGTCAATCAGATACCCAGATTTCTTATGGGACACAAGAACATTGTTTGTTTTAATGTCACAATGAAGATATCCTTTTTCATGGATGTGATGCAATGCATCAGCAATATCATAACATACTCTGAACCAGTCTAGCACCGACATACCTCCAATGAGTTTCATGGATTGGTTATCATATAAAAGTTTGTGTACTGTCAGTGACTGCAAATCTTTTCCAACAAACTCCATAAATAAAGAGTATGGCTTTCTGGCACTGTTAATTCCAAAAATATAAGGCACGCATCTATGTGCAAGCATTTGCTGATAGAGTGCTTCTTGATAAACAGAACTCTCACTTAATCTGGTATAATTTTCTCAACAACATGTATACCAAATCGTGAGTAGTACCATGTGCGACATTGCCCAAAGCTTCCAGAGCCAATGCATGGTGAAGCATCTTCCAGTTCATCTGGCTCCATTTTTGCTGTTGCATTCCTGTTGAAGCCTATTACAATTGAAATTAGCAAAATTAAATATACAGTAATACCAATCTCTCACAAACAGACTGTACATCATCTTAAATCTATCTTTTACACAATATTCATGTTTTAATTTAGGATTTCAGCATGTTTGTAGTTAACTATTAAAGGGCAAGTCAAGTCTGTAATGTAAACAAATGGTTTGTTTACATTTTGAACTGCTGTATTTTTTAAAATATGATGTACTGTCTGAATATCTAACACCATTTTGGTTCGCTATGCTTCTAAATGAATATGAAATAAAGTTTATGTTCAGAAAAATTCGAAACATTCAAAATTTGGACAATTTTTACATTAGAGGTCCTCACATTGTTATGCGCAGAACCGATGCGCAGAACGGACTTGACTTCCCCTTTAAAGTATTTAAATTAACTAGCATTAGAAATAATTGAAAAATATGAAACAGTGAAAATTTAATGTGGGGTCTAAGACTTGCACAGGCAGGTGACTGTGGGTTGCTGTAAACTGATATTTCAATTCCATAGGCCTTATCAGCTACCATTGCCAATCCCCAAGTTACCAAGTAAAAATCAAGTAAAATCTAGGTTGTTCTTGTAATTAAATTTATACAAAATGTTAAATATACTCAATTTCAGCATAGCATATTGTACCAAAATAGTAAAGCAGTCTCAGCAAGCCCATTGGCACAGCCAATTAGGATAAACGCCATTTTTGCACTCCCCATGCACCCCTGTTGACCAGAGCCTGGAGGGGCGCACCCCCCTGCACCCCTTCCCTAAATTCACCACTGGTAGTACTCAGTGGTGGTAGTCAATGTACAAAACCCTATCCCTATCCTCATATATTAATGTGCTTGTTTACCTTTAAAGATGTAGTCTTATTGACAATGAGCATACATTGCTTCCACTTATTATAATATTTGATGGCAATACGTTTCTGCTTTTCGAAATCATTTCGAATTAAGCTGACTGTAGCATCTACTCTTTTTTTTTACCTCCGCTTCTCCTTTAACCTTGAATCGCGCAATTGATCGTTCAGCTCGTTTTCGCTTCTTCCTAGAATTTCTTAATTTTCTTCTGTACTCAACAGAATGCACCATTATTCAGCTTATATCTCTGCGTTTGAAAAAAATTGCCGCGCTGAAGTTATAAAAATACCGCGAGTTAACGCGAGTGTAATAGACACTTCCCGAATTTGCTTGAGTGCACACGAAACAATAGCTTGGAATCGAGGTGGACAATGTAATCCATTGGAAATAAGTATAGTTTTCCAATGGATTACATTGTCCGCCTCGATTCCAAGCTATTGTTTCGTGTGCACTCAAGCAAATTCGGGAAGTGTCTATTCTGCCCAATTTGGACATCAAAGCCATATTTGCGTAAAACAGGGGGGGTGGTAATGCTTGTGACCAAAATATAGAATGCCGTTTAAATAATTGTCATGGCAACACCATGATTAAAAATGGGAAGCGTTTTGAAATTAATAGTTTAAAGGCAACAAACTGAACAAATAATACATTTTTCTTGTTTATTATGCATAAAAGAGTATTTACAAGGCTAAAGGAACATATCAGGTTAGTCTACCGGGTGGCGCAAAAAAAAGTATAACTGTTTGATTTAGTACAGCGAACAATCTATAAGGGTTACATCCCTGAAATAAACCTAGCTGTATTCATAATAGTCTAACTTAAATTTTGAGCTATAGCATGTTTATTTACGTGCAATATTGACTGGGATATCGCCAAATAAAATTTGGAACGAAGTTTTGAAAATCTGACAAATTGGCTAAAAATGGCCTATTAAACTGTTTTGATAAATTTTAGAATTTCGTCAGACATATTCGCTTGTATGAATTTAATTTGAATTGAAACGTGTAACAAATGATTTTCCTTATTTATTTATTTGTTTTATTATCATTTGAAAAGCAACAAAATTTCGAAAAAGATGGCTCTTTTAATTAAGAATTGCTTCGCAGTATTCCATGTCCCATAGCTATAGGGAATTAAATTAGATCAACAACCGAACAATTTGAGACAGCTTCGTGAAGCGATTATTGTTGATTGCCATAACTTTGACCAGCAAATAAATCCAACGTTCGTTCGATAGTATGGTCACACGTGCAATAATATAGTTATTTAATTTTTCATGATAAACGCGTTATTTACTGCAGTTGTGTTCTTCATATATCGTTAATTCCTTTACTCGTATTTAATAGGCTATTTTCAGCTAATTTTGGAATGTTTTGAAATTGCATATTCAAATTGATTTACCAATATCTTGGGTAATACTAAACAAAAATGCATGTGTTATACATCAAAATTTAAGTTAGGCCTTCCTGGATAGGATAACATTTATTTGAGGAACGTAACACTTATAGTTTTTTCGCTGTACTAAATCAAACGCGTGAACTTTTTTTTGCGCCACCTGGTACATTTCAGTTAACTTAATATTTTACATTTATCCTGTGCATTTATACAGGCTATCGATTTAAAATTTACTTCTGTCCTGGCTGTCCATTTACTAAAAATGCAATGTTGCACGTGCACGAGACAATTTTGAATGACAATTTGAAATGAAAATATTGTCGACTGGTTTCAGGGCCGCTGAGAGAATTCTCTGGGCCCAGGACAAATTGTTCTCGGTGGGAAATTACGCTCAATTTTATATTTTTAAGGTCTCGTTCAATTTCGGGGCCCTATTTATAGGTAGGGTGCACTGTACTGGCTTGGCAACAATATATTATACATTGTGAGAAGTTAAATTGTCCCATGTATTATTAAACTTTAATTAGGATTTATTCAAGGTTAGGATTTATTCAAAAGCTACTGAGTAAATACTGTACAAATTGTATTGTATTAATACACATTAATACAGTACACATGATGATCTCTTATATCATCCCTTTAATTTCATAATGACTTTGGCAGTTTTTATTTGTCTTAATTTTTCTTTTATGACTGAATCTGCTATCAGTTTGTCATATGTTGGTAACCTATTGTTGGACATAAAATTTTTTTTTTCCCAATCCTCAATGTTTTTCTCCAACTCTCTTTTCTTCTTTGACACTTTTGTTTGAATCACCGCAAGTTTATACATGTAGCTATCCAGCAAAAACTTATCCTGTCGTTGGTCCTTGGCCTTTTTTCTGACATGATCAAGTTCAATGACTTCATTTGTATTTCCAAGAACATATGCCAGGGTTGAGCCCAATTTAGTGTGCCATTGTTCTTTATTAGCACTTAAAGGGTCTTTGCTGATTTGAGCTTCACTTGTGCCATTTACAGCTTGAACATCCTCTTGCGCTAAATATGAAAGAACAGCTTTAATATGATTGTTATCATAATATTATGGTAGAACATAACAGTAGAGGGGCACCGGAACCCCTATTTTTCAGAGCTCTGGTTCTGGCCGGAACTAATAAAAAAGCATGATCGAAACCGGAACTCTGTTATTTTCAGAATATCAAACGTTTTTGTGTCTGACAAAAGTTCACAGTAGGGAGAAATTTTGACTGTTACACAAGGAAAATATACACAATTAACACTTCATTATGACGTTTAACATTTGTCAATCTTTTTATTCTACCATTTGCGAGCTTTCTCCTTGATGACTTGAAGTGTCTGCTTTTCTGGCAGCAGACAAAGTAACATATGACTATATATTGCAGATCCAGATCTGGTTCCGGCCGGAACTTAAAAAATTGGTTTCCGGTGCACCCCCTACTGTACATAACAGTCAAAACTATAATGTCCTAATATATTTTGTTAACATTAATTATCTAAAACTTACCAGCTGTCATATGTGCAGTGTCCACTGGAGGGTCTTCTAACATTGATTCTCTCAAATCATCTTCAGGCATGGGCATTATCAGGTTATAGTGAACAATATCCTCATGAGAATGGTCATTTTTACCAACACTTTCAAAACAGTTTTGACTGTGTTCTTCGGGTGTACTAATTGCGATCTCTCCTATGTGTTCACTATTTGCTTCATCTTCCATACTGGCATCATTGGAAGCATCATCTGACAATTCTTGATTTTTCAGGAACTGGGTCTGGGTAGGGATAAAGGTATCTGTAGTGGCATCTTTCAACCGCAGCACATGAAGAGGTAACAGAATTTTCTTTTCGATGCACACAGACCAGCACTTATGTAGGTGGTCTTCTTCTTCTTTGAAGTTACTTGATCGAAAATGATGAAGCTTTGGACCTTCAGATCTTGAATCTACTCCGGATTGCATGCTGTCAAAAAATTCCACATCACCTTCTTCATTGCTGGTCCACCAAACACCTCTGCCAAACATAAGAAAGTCACTTATCCTCTCCAAATGAGTTTGCCAAGATTTAGAATGACGTGTTATAATGCTGAAAGGAACAACAGTGTTGCCAAGAGAGGGAAGTGATTTAGCCAGTTTGGAAATGTGATTTTGCTGCTGATCAATTGTATTCTCAGAATGGTACTCCCCCAATTTCTTCTCAGCTTGGATTCGAAGCAAGACATTCCCAATAATATGATCCGGTTTGTAGGATGAGGTGGACCGAGTGATGTTGGTAACTGCATTGAAAACTCTTTCTTGTTCTTCTGCATGACAAGATTTTCCACTAATGAGGCGATTTTGGATAGCAGCATGGGCCGATAATTTGTGAAAATAGACGCCACAAAATTTTCGACAAGTCATCTTCTTTGTCTGGTAGCCAATAACTTGCCAACATAGAAATGCATGTAGCCATGTCAGATTGTGGAATCTTAGAACACTCTGAGGTGAACAGTTCTCATCTCTTCCATATGCGATGGCCTGTATTTCCACCAAGGTTTGTAACAGCCTCTGTACTTCCAGGGAAACCTTGCCAATTACACGATTTGTAACCGTAATCAGAGTACATCGGTAGTCAAAGCATCGTTTTGTTTCTTTCTTTCCAAGGCAGAGTTCAATTGTTTCAGTGATCATTGTTGCTTCTTCAGGTGAAACATGCATGGGCAACTCAACAAGAATATTTTCAATATGCTTTCCCACATCATGTAGCGGTTCAAATGGTAATATTTCATACTTGTCGCAGTTAATTGAAGCTAAACTAGCCAATGGATTAGTGTAGAGAAGAGCTGGGACTCTCTGAACCCCATGAAGTTCATCAGTCAACAACCTTTTCAAATCTTCTTGTGTTTCCCCCTCATAGATCTTCCTACTATTTAACTCCTGTAGTAACTCAGGCTTCTTCAATTGGTGAACTGGTTTGCTATTTCCTGCCAATGTTTTTTGCCGAGAAATGGCACCTTCCAAAATCAACTTTTGTCTGTCACTCAACGACATGTGCGTGCAACGATAGCTGTAATCCAGTTCATACACACGGTTTGCGTGTACTCCACAGACGGAACAGTAATAGTGGCCCCCCTTTTGTTGGCCACACTCGTATTGCTGGGCTGGGTTGTCACCATGAAAGAAACGCATAATATCAATTATTTCCTCTCCATTTTCATTTGGTAATGGCAAGCTAATTTCTTCCAAGCATTCAACTCTTGTTTCTATATACGACAGCTGCTCTACATCTGAACTGCTCGATCTGGCGACAATGTAAACTTCAGGCGATTCTACGATTGTTTGAATGTCAACTTTTCTCTTGGTCTTCATTTCAAACTCCTTATTTGTGTAAAATAAAGCTGGGTCATATATGCATGCAACCATGAAAATTAGGTGACTGTGATTGGCGACAGTTGACAGATCATGCCATATTTTTAGATGACGAGTGTGTGAAATATCTTTCAGCTTTGCTTTTAATGTATCTACATCATCCAAATCTGAGAACACAGCATTAACTTGAACTAATCTTTCTTTAACTTGTTCTTCTGACATCATGCATAGCTCTTCATCTGTAACGGTTCTCATATAATTGGCATGGGACTTCAAAAAAATCTCTCTTATTACAGTCAAAGGTTGCTTTCGACCTTCTACCACAAACTCACTTTGAACAATCGTACCATCGTCATTAAGTGTCAACTTTTCATACTAAAAAATAAAAAAGAGACTTCTGTACAAATCATCTGGCATGATAGACAAACTTAATATATACTCTGCGGCAAACACTTTGTGAAATATTGGGGGAAGGGGAATTAAAGGTTGCCGCATATGACAACTTTATGTTCCCCAAAACTTTAAACTTTGTGCCTAATAGACTGAATGCATTCCCATAAACTGTAGTTATTACTAGTGTAGATCGAGTTTCCTGGTCTTGAAAGCCCATGTTTTTTCGTCGGGTGAAAGACAGTGATAGTAAAATAATGGTATCAGGCACAGCAAGTGAATGACACTGTTAATGTCAAAGAATCTAACACGTCTAACACTTCACCATTACTAATGAGTAAATTATGAGGCATTAGTATAGAGCAAGATAACCTTAAGGTACATGATTTGATAAGTGTACAATTCCAGGGCAGATTGAACTATATACTGATATTTTTCACGTCATATTAAAGCACCCATGTTGGTAAAAAACGGTAAAGTACCAAATAAATTATCCTCAGAATAAATTTCAATGGATTTTCTTTGTTTTAAAGGGATATTTACACCGACATGGAATTAATATGTGAAAATCACCAATACTTGTCTACCAGTTTGATGCTAGTGGATAGAACATATAAAAATATTAGGTACCTTTCTAGCAACAATTAGTTTTCCTATTGAATACTCATTCTGCATAATTTTTTCGTGCAGTTGTTTTTTCAGAGATGCATTTGTTACCGGCGTTGGTATGGATATCTCCCCTCCTAGGCCTCTCCTCTTCTTTCGTCGAATGCGTGGATCATCTGAATTGGTGTTGTATCGTTTGAATCAACCGATTTCAACCACTCTTTCACAATCTGGCCGCCATTTGCTGCAATTTTGCCTTTCGTGTTGGTGACGTTATAGTCCTTAGCCAGTTGAGACCAGTTGACAAACTTGCCATTTTCATATGACTCAACTTCTGATTTAAGAGCATCTTTGTCCCAAGCCATCTTGTCAAATATCCCAACAGGACTTCTTTTTATTTCAGGTACCTGCGAATGTTCTGGACTCAGTCTTGGCTCAAACGCCTGCGCTAGACGATCTTTCTGACGCGACTTCAAAGACTGTCTGTTACCAAAACACCTAAGTGTAACAAATTTGACATGATTTAACTTTTTAGGTGAATGACTATTATTTCATGCATGTACAGCGTTACTAACCTTAAAATATCTGTTTCCTTCCATTCCTCTTCAATCCGTGCTTTTACCTTCCTGTAACAGTCCCTTTTTTCTTTCTTCATTTCAGTTTTAGATTTCTTCTGCTGGAGTTGCAATTCTGGAACAGAAACTAAAGCTTGAGCCAAAGGAACCTGACATATTTTCTGAAATTGCAGGTTAATTTGTGCATACAGTTCCCTAGCTGCCTTGGTCACCTCGCGTTTTTTGCATTTCACCTTTGCTTTCGATTCACCCACGTCATTAGCGGTCTGTGTTGCTGTTACAAAGTTATTCTTGTCTTGACAATTGTTAAATTGCTTGGACTTGACAGGAAACAGAGACTGCTCATAGCTGTAGCTGTGAGAACATCCACGGCACTCCTGTAAACTATGTTCAGCTTTCTTTGAGGATGGAAGTTTTTTCCACTTTTCTGTCTCAAAAGTAGCAAGATATTTCACGCGCTCGTTGATTTTACGGGAATTCCATTTGACAAATTTTGTATGGAGATCTTGAAACCTCTTCTGAAAAGTCGCAAAGCTAATTGAGTAGTTCTCTTTGCACTCGCTGAAAGCTTCAATAAAATTTTCGTAGTGTAACTTTGATATTCGCGAGCGAAATTTTGGTAATGATTCTCCGTCCGACCGTATTGCTGTTGACGCTGTTGATTTTTCCAGCTGCCAAGCAATTACTTTGGCAAATCCACAAGTATTGGGATGAATTAGACTTACGACCATTATGAACCACTCATATTTAAATAAAGAATATAACATTGATTAAATCACTGTAAAAAACTCTCTTGTTTGCGTGTTAGAAGCTATACAACGTGTACTTTATTGTGTAATTGCGCGAAATATTCAAATTTCGCGCCGTCGAATTTGTTTTGCTTTTTGCATTTACCACTGTATTGCGTATTGCAGGCTCAAAGTCAAGATGGCGTCTTTTCGACAAATTGTACGGAAACTTTCATTCTGCTTGCGGACAGGGATGATTAACTTTTTGTTAACATTAAACATATACGGACATTCATATTTACATATATTTTTGTACCGAAACTAGCTTTTCGCACATTTAGTAAATCTGCGCTTAAACGGCAAGAAATTCCTTCAAGATATTACGCAATATATGAACTCCTAAACGTATTATTAATTTATATAGATCAAAAACGTATCTGATTTAGGATAGCAAGTTAGGAACGCAAGTATCATACACTAAAGTCTTTCAGACGGGAAAATGCTGAATCGTTTATTACTATTTTCCTTGTCCGCAGCGTCACTGAAAATATGGTAAGGAATTTTCCCTTTAAAATGGGGAAAAATATCACGTGACACGTTTCCATGGAAACATAAAGTGTTAATTCTAAAGCTCTTACTGATGTTGTATAGTGTTGTTAATTTCTCCGCAAAAGGTACATTCAGTGATATATTATGGCAATTTTAATGTTTTCAAAGCAATATTAACCTGGACCCATGCATTAATCCCCTGAACAACAACTTTTTCTAAAAATACGGAGGACGATACATTCATTCAGTAGAATAGAACCCTTATAAAATGATAAGAATGCAAGTTAGCCAAATATATGAAGCAATTACTCAAGTGGGATTAAAATATGCTAAAACGCAGAGGATCCAAGCCTCATAGATTTATAGGAATATGGCAATAAAAATTAACTTTGTCGTACTGGAAAGAGCTTTAAAACATATATATGGAGACCCGTTACAACATTTTTCTACCTTCCTTGGTTTTCGAGATATTTTGACCAAAAACAGTGGGCAGTCCGCCAGCTTGATATTATAATTGACTTAATTAACTGAGTTTTTGATGACGTCACAAGCAGGGTAAACTTCTGTATATGGGACTAAATTTCTAACCCTAACACGGCATTAGAAAAGATCATAAGATTGCAGCTGACAAGAATTTCGTCTGCAAAATCTTAAGCTCCTTGTTATTGTTCGTAAATACCTTTCATCACAGTTCTTCTAAAAAATTCAATCGCGGCCCGACAGAATGCCAAGTAATGTAGGTATTTTATTTTCCAAATAATTATATATAATTATAATAAATAAGTGCCTGCAAGTCTGATGATCATCCCCGAGCAGACGGCGCGAAGCGCCGTGCGAGGGTACTAATTCGACCTGGCTATTTACACCCGGGGAAACGAAAGCATTAGCGAAGTCTAAAGTTCATCAATTATCGCGGGCGTGGGTGACCAACGATGTTGGGGTGGGTGGTCATCCTCACTGATCTTAAAAATATGGCGGACTGTCATAAATAGCGGCCACGGATTGATCCAATTTAAAGTTTGCATTATATAACGACTGCATGACGACAGCGAAATAGCAAACATTTCTTGATTTGATGATTGATAAATTTCTTGCAAATATATTTCATTTTTGCTCGCATTTTTGCAAGATTTTGTAAATTTCATAAGCTTTCTCAGAAAGAAAGGGCCAAAGAATCGGCTAAAAGAAGGGAGCCGACGTTAACAAGGCTAAGTTTGTTTTAAATATTGATTTTATAATTGCTTTAAAACCCGACGGCCTTTGCGTATATGAAACAACTAAACAAGACAGCATATAATTTCAGTGTATCTTTAATATTGATTCCCTTTTTTATTATATTGAATTTTTTAAATAAAGAAGAAAGCAATTTTATTTGCATGCGAGAATTTGAAATCTTTTTATTGCAAACTCAAAGTTTATATCGATAAAGCCATTTAATTATTAAAAGGCAGTTTAGTTTTATAAAAAAACACTTTAAAACGTTTTGTGACGCGTTTGTGGTTGAATTTTACCTGAAATTGAAGCTTATACTACGTATAATAACATACCTAACAAATATTTGTTGGGAAATTTATAATTTTGTAATTAAAAGTGATATTTTTTAGGCGATTTGTAGTAATATTCTTAAAAAATTATCATGTTACCACGACAAATACCTTAGATACTTCGTGTTCGGAAAATACAATGGGTTTGTCAGCAAGGCGAGGGATTCCTGCATGCATGTATTTTCTAGTTAATATTTAATCATTTGATCATTCATTCATCTGCCAACATTCAAACTATATATTTACTGAATATAGTTCCACATCTTCTGAAAGCTCGAAAAACTTTAGTTGATATGCAGTAGAACTTAAGAATTCCGTTTTGGTTTTTCAAATTTATATATTTTCTCTACATTTCTAGTTACATTTACCTATTTCTTTCATGAAAGCGAACATGATGTGGCAGTTAATTTACCATTGATGCTTCTGGAACAGTTATATTGCTTTCCCATTGACAGGGGCCTGTATGTTTTAGTTTACGAATATCTGAAGCATCTTAGATTTAGGCGATTTCTATGCGTCTCTAGCGAGAGGTGTTCGTCAGGGCGTTTTGTCATCAAATAACGTCTTGCATAAGTACTTTATTCGGCCGTATAACTAGTATTTGTATCATCAATTTGGATCTAAACCAAACTAATGCGGTTGGTTTCGATACTTACTTCTATATAACGTGATATTTCAACTTTTCCCACTGTTGTGAGTGTTTTCGTTCGAAACGAATCAAGAAGTACGATTATTCTGTGACTTTCCCTAAACCCAATAAAAGTTTTGTGCTATAAAGTTTTTACGCTGTACTTGGGAACATTCTCAAACGGACATCGAATAAACCAAAACAGGTTTTTGTATGGTACACTCATGCGTATTTCGATGTCTGATTCTATGCATACGTGATAGCTCAACCGTCCCTGAATGCGGCAGCTTTGGCTATTATTAGTAAAACCAGGAACACCGGAACACCGGAACACGGAACACCGGAACAGCATCATTGCGGAACACGGAACACAGGAACACTAAAAATTCTTAATTTGTTAAAAATTCGAAAAAAAATTACCGGGGGTGTGTGAAATTATTGCTGGAAAAATTATTGGGTAAAACATGCTTTTTAATAATATTCTTACTTGCCGATAAATAACGAACTGAAATCAAGTCTCAAATTAATAAATATTTGCCAGAAAAGAAGAAATTCAAACCTAGAATTGTTATTTGTCAGTTGTTGTTGGAAACATGACCTTTGCCTTGGCCGGCTTTCGGTCAATATTAACAGACAATATTGTAACAACAGTTGATTGGCTTCCTTGTTTTTACAAACTTACTTAATATGAATTTGAAAAGGATAATTTTCATCTCTCGTTCAAAGTTTGCCTGTACTTTAGCATCACTTACAATTCTTTAAATACGTATTAATTAGCAACTTGATCTTTCACACACAACACATAAGCAGCGATGGAAGGGAAACTTTTAGCGTGAAAATAACCTTTCGCCATTTCGGTCAATCAAAACGGACAAAAATACAAACAAATGTAGGCCTTGTAAGTGATAGCTTAAATAATATTTCAACGCATGTGTGCCTATTTGTCTATTTCACTATGTTTAAAATTTATTAGCTGATCCTCAATTCAGTAGGTAATTTTGTGCACTTGGAAATTTAGAACGAGTAGTGTTGTATGACTATATCCGAGTTTTGACTTGCCCTGCATGAGATTCATTTATATAGCAAACATCTTAATATATAAAAAGGTCACACGCGACGGGGCATAAATACAACAAGTTGAATTTACAACTTGCATTTGAAAGGTAGATGTGCAATTTTCAACTTCCGCCCATTGGCATTGAGTATATAAAAATGGAAAACAAAATTTAAAAATAATGAAGATCATGCTAAAGCATTCTGTGATGAGGACCGAGATATTAATATTCGTTCAAAATATCAAATTCAAATACAAGTTGCAAAATCAACTTATTGTTTATACATATAAAAATTGCGCATCCTATATTAAAAGGCATAATTTAGTATATGGAATAATCTTTCGTGCTATATATGACATATATCAGTACCGCGTCGCGTGTGACCTTTTATAAATATATTGTAGGCCGGCTAGTACGGCATAACATACTATGGCAGTATGGGGGAGGGCCGCCTACTATAGATCTCAGGGCAAGCGAAAACGCGGATAGAGACTAGAGTCGTAGGATATTTACTTGTACTAAATCTCCAAATGTAAAACGTTCCCTAACGTAAGTGAGTGTCAATTTAATTTACAGTCGAATAAACATACAGAAATAGACAAATAGACACACGTGCGTTCAAATATTATTTATAGGAATACAGCTATGACTTACAAGGCCTACATTTGTTTGTATTTTTGTCCGTTTTGATTGACCGAAACGGCAAAAGCAGGGGCGGATCTAGGGGTGATCAGAGCGATCACGCGACTAAGGTAAAAATTGGCCAAAAAAATAGAAAATTGTTAAATTAAAATAGCAGTCCAGTTATGAAACTTCGTGCAGTGTAATGTATAGAAAATTTAACAGTCCAGTTTTGAAATATCATTCAGTAGCAAGGCCTTCGAACATGAACGCGCAGAAAAGCGGTCTTACGCATGAGTTTTGCACGCTCTGAGTCATATTCCAGCCATCTGATTGGCTATCTCGATTTTTGCGCGTTTTGTTGGGAGTTCTGATCGCTAAAGCGATCAGGGGCTTGAATACAGGCTATCCGATTTGCTAATTCAAAACAATCCTGAATTCCCATTGGCTGGATTTTTTTGATCGATCATACCGTTCAGGCTTTATTAGTGCACGGAAAGGTCTATGACGTTTCTGGCCCTTTCTGATCGCTACTTTGTGCTTGACCGAAAGTTATTAAAGTTCAATGGGAAGATTTACTCAGGACATTCTGAACTAATACTAGCC